CCCCCCCCCGTTGGGACAGGCTTCCTTCCGTGAAGCCCAAACCTGTCTCTGTGGCCTCTCTGCTTGGGCCTCTTGGATCTTTGAGGTTGCTGTGGTCACTGATCCATTCAACGCTCCGTCCCCAGTCCCACCAAGACCAGCCTCCACTGATTAACCTCACCACCAGTTATCACCCCCATGCCTTCTGTGGAAGTCGGCACCAGTCCACTGAGTGGCCTTGGCCAGGCAACTCGGCCGACTCAGCTGGCTGAGCCCCGTCCCGGGGTGAGCTGCCTCCCACCGACCACCGGAGGTGTCCAGAATCCGCAGTCCACCCACGGCCAGCAGGGGGCGAGTGGGGGAGCGGATTGTGGTGAGGAACAGTGCTGGAGGCCCCACCCAGTTCTGGCTCGCAGGGGTGCCAGGGGTGGGACTGTGGGAAGTCCCTGGGCACCAGGCTCTGCCCAAGCACCAGCATCTAGCAGGGGCTGGTCGGGGGCAGAATGGCATCTCCCCCAAAAGACTGCACGTCTCACCCCCGCTACCTGTGAGTGCCACCTTATTTGGACGTAGGGTCTTTGCCGATGTGCCCAGGTTAGGGTGTCAGGGGAGGTCACTCTGCCCTTAGGGCCGGTCCTGGAGCCCATGAGAGGTGTCCTTAGAAGACTTGCAGAAACACAGAAGGAGGCCACGTGGAGGCAGGGGAGGACACTGGAGGCCAGCGGTCCCCAGAAGCCAGGGGAGAGGCCTGGAGCACACTGTCCCTCAGAGCCTGCTGACGCTCTGGTCTCGGAGGTCTCCAGGGCTGTGGAAAGAGATCTCTGTTGTTTTAAGCCACCCAGTTCACGGTGATTTGTTCGCGCAGCCCCAGGAGACGGATTCACGCGCCCGTTTGGTCCCTCCCCTGGAGTCAGCCTCCCGACGGGGTGGCTGGGGCCTGGCTCCGGGTCCTGCAGGGGCAGGGGCACGGCCAGCTCCTGGTCAGGGTGGGCAGCGTGCCTCGGGCCTGGCTCTCCCGCCTTACCTGGACAGGGCGAGGGTGCCCCAGGTCCCCTCCTCAGGTTCAGTGATTTGCCCGGGTGCCCGCAGGACTCAGGGACAGAAGCCCGCCATGTCCTGCCACTGTCGATTCCCAGGGCTGTGGGGAAGGGCACCCAGGAGCAGCCAAAGGAACAGGGACTGCCGAGAGGAGCAGAAGGCCTCGGTCCGCAGCGCTGGGTGTGCCACCCGCCAGGCAGGTGGGCGCGTTCACCAACCTGGGAACTCCCCAGGAGCTCACAGAGGGTCCCAGCGTGCCGGCACGATGGCCTCGGTCCTCGGTCCCCCAGCCTGTAGGTCGGGGGCCGGCTCTCCTGCTGTGGGGCTGGGTCCCCCCTCCACGGCCCCCTTCCCTTCCTGAGCGGGAGCTCGG